GGCATGCGACGGGGTTGCGATGGGGGGTTCGCTACGGGTCGCGAATAGTTTTTGTGACGCCATTTAGCTCCTCTCCAATTTTAGAGGAACTGGCTGTAACAATTTTGACATCAAGTGAATACAAGAAGACAGGCAGACAGTTGTAAAGTCTATCAAAAAAAATATTACAGTTGGTCCTCCATTAATGATAGATCACTACTAGTAATATGATGAGGTTGTTGTGCTGGTACTGGTGGTGGTGTTTAGTACAAGCAAGTAGTATGAGTTTTTTGTTTTCTTTTTGTTGTTGGAAATTAGGTGTGCAGAGAAATCAACAATCCTGAAAAGGTTCTCTGGCAAAAAATCCAACAATATGCAAATGTATGGCAACAAGAAGAAAGAAAACCCTTTCTGATCAATGGATTCTCAAAATCTGATTGTTTTTTGCAAGCATACTAGTAGTAAACAAGCAAGCAACGAGAGCTGCTCAAAGCTAAAAACTGGAGCGTTTAATTGTACTCATAACCTGATCAAGATTCGGTCCACACCTTTGCATTCCTTCCTCGTGCTCGTTCTTCCTGATTCTTGAGAACGAGCCGAGTATCTCTTTCTCTTTTTCTCCTTCGTCTGTCCTTTGCTCCAAATGCTCTTTCAGGTTCCCGTTCTTCGTGTCACGGGCGGAGTTTTGTTGCGGATCTGAAGGAAGGGACGCGGAACTTTACGGTACTTTTCATCCTTCCAACTCGAGATCACGGAAACGTAGCCGTACCGTACGGTACTATTGGATGGTACTTTACCTACCGGTACTATTATATTGGCACCCGACCGTGAACTGCTTTGTCCTCGGGTTGGAGCGGCACAATACCGTACTGGACGAGTACCGTACGGCACCCTAGTCCTCCTCGATCCAATCCAGGCACCAGGTGACCGATGGATTCGAAGTTCCGGCTCGGTTCCGAGAATCGAACCGGGCCTTCCCTCCACAACAGCGACCCCCCGATGCGGGGCATCCCCCCCGGATTCCCGGAAGATCCGATCGAAGCCGCGGGTGGTACTCGTACTCCTGCTAACGGCAGTGCTCGTGCTCGCACCCGTACCGCGATTGCGGAAAAGACCACAGCCGCCGTAGAAATAGCGAACCAGGCACCGGGGGCGACGTGCACCATGAGCGCTGCGCCGAGCGGATTCGGGCGCAGACCGAGGCAATGCTCTCCCTACTGCGACGAGGAGCTGCCCCCCGCAAAGACGATGCGCGCCGGAGAAGGGCAGAGGCAGGCGGCCTTTTTCTTCGGCAACCCCTCCGGCGCCGGAACGATCCACGAGAGCAAGCCAAACCCAAACGACCACAGCGGCGATGCCTGGACCGAGGAGCAGCACAAGGACTTTGTGTCGGCCGTCTTCGAGATCGGCCTGAGGAACGCCTCGCCGGCGGTCATACTGGAGAACATGACCCAGAAGGCCGAGACGATCACCAGCGAGCGGGTCAAGAGCAAGCTGCAAAAGTACCGGAGCGAGAAGAACCGGCGCCGGTCGAGGGAGGACTTTCTGGCGAGCTACTCCTCGTTTCTGGAACGCGCCAGGTCTCTCCGGGCGGAGGAAGCCCCCTCGGAAGAACCCGGCGTTTCGGACGGCTCGCTGCCGACGCCGATCGACCCCCTGCGGCAGTGGATCCTGCGGGGCGCCACCGGGAGCGGCGGCCCGGGGGTCCTTCTGGGCGGCGACGCGGCGGGCTACCTCACCTACGCCGTCGCGAGGGAAGCCGCGGAGGAAGCCGCGCGGAACGACCCGGCGGGGGGGCCTCCCCCGTCGCCATCCGGCGGGCCGGAGGAGAAAGGCCTCCCCTCCACGGCTACCCTCAAGAAGGGCGCCAGGGACTATGCCGAGCGCTACGCGGGGTCCGCGATCCGGTTCCCGGTCCTGACGGAGGCCGAGAAAAAGTCCTCGCTGGGGATCGCCATGACCTTCCTGGCGGGCCTCTTTCTGACCCTGTCCCAGCACCTGACCAGGGAGCGGGCCCGGGCGGAGACCATTGGGCTCAAGCTCCCGGCTCCCTCCGGGGCGGGCACGCCCGATGCCACGACCCGTTCCGCAACCCATGCCACACAGACACAAGCGCCTTCCGGCGGCGGTCCCGGTGCCTCGGTGGCGGGCCCCACCCACCGGACCCACCCGCGAGGCCCCGTCCGCACCGATGCCAGCTAGTGGTAGTTGGCCGTGGACCGCGGTCTCGCCCGGACCGAAGAAGACGAACAGGGCACGGAGCCCAACACCGCGCACCGGGCCGGAGCCAAGAACGAAACGGGTTTGCTTGGAACGTGCCGCTGACGGCCCAGAGACGATCTTCGCGAAGGGCTCGAAGCTCCCGCAGAAACAAACACGCCGCCGAGACTGTCCAAGCAGATGCGCACCTCGGTATTCTCCCGGCAAGAGGGCCGCGTGGGCTGGCGTCCTTCCGTCGGTGACGCTGCCGACAGCGATGCTACGAATAGCACTCTCCTGTGCACCGGCATGGTTTCGATCTTTTTCGCGAAGCATTCCGTTCGACGGGATCGTGTCGGATCTTTGCCGCAGCACGGTGGTTTGTGGTCCTTCGCACCACGGGCCCGTGTACCAATCGGGCACGGGGAAACCATCTCTAGGAAAAGGGTTGGCGAAAAAAACAACACGCGCGTTTTTGTCGTTGTTGTTGAGCCTGTGTTTCGTGACAGAGGGAGACGCTCCGGATGCCATTCATCGATACTTGGGGATTGTTCTTCTGGGATGGATAGATTCGATGGGTGGTTCGATGGATAGATTCGCGTTACATCGCACTGTTTGGTGAACAGGATTGGGCCCGTGGATCATTGTGCTGCGCGCAAACTCTTTCGGCGAGGGAATCTGTGGAGCATTCTACGAAGAGAAGAGTTCCGTTTCAGATGCGAATCCACCAGAGCACGGACAGATAGACAAGCCTCGGACGGAAAGTGGGTTGTTTTAAAAAAAATTAAATAAAAAATTAAAACGAGAATACATTCTATGGAGGTAAGGGTACGTGGGAGACCAAAGGATCTCGGAATAGCGTAAAAAGAAGAGTTCGAACCGTGGTGGCAATCCGCATCCACAACAAATAGGATGGATCGAACCGGTGCAATGTAAGCATGTATTGTAGTTGGAAACCCGCTGTGAATGGGACCAAACGAAGCTCGTCTTCGGGCGTGTCTCCATTCCTTCTCCACCGAGGGTGAATTCCCCGTGTGCGTTTTTGCTCGGGGTTACGGAGTCTTGCGTGTGGGCTGGCTCCCGGAAAATTTCTTGACCGCTTGGAATTCCAAGATGCGCTGGAGGCGGTCCTTGTTGTTCATTCCGGGACGGGAAGAGGTCGAGCGCTGCCCCGTGGTATCATCGTTGCCGCTGTTGCTGCTTCGAAAGTGATAACCGTTGCTGTTATTGTTCACGATCCGTGATGCAGGGTTTACTGTCTCTCCACGTATGTAATGTGATTCTGCTTGCGCAAGTGTTAGGAAGATCAGACATAATAGAAGTTGGACTTGAAACATTGACTGCCGTTTGGACGCAAAAATTAGCTATGCTGTCTTTGATCTAAACCTATTTGTCCCGTTGGCGAGGCATTGCGAAAGAAAAGGAATGAACAGAACAGGGGTTTGGATGAGCTTCTCCAACAAGAGATACTACTACTATGTTCTAGCGACTATAGATGATGATTGCTCGTGCAAAAACTTCTAGATTAAACCATGGGCATCGAACAGAAGGATGATAGATTCGGCAGGGACACACCTTTTCAAGACACCAAAGAAAAGTATTATGCAAAGGATGGGAACAAACGAGGAAGGAAGAAGAACAATATCCGGATCGACCCACGAGTAAGACGTGCTAATTGCTGCTGCGTGCTCGTTCGCACATTTTACGGGTCATTTCGTTGATCGCCATCATATCAACAACACTTATCGTGCGTCCAAGCAGTGTTGCAATATGTAGTAGCGTACGGTGCAGTAGTACCGTAACGGCGGTTCACTCACTTAGTGTGCTGTTGATGTTCTTTTCCTGACGTTTCTGATGGCAGCAGCACTTCGGTTTGTTCCCTTTTTGACACCCACGATACGAGTCGGGTCATCCATCACCAAAATTCTGGTTCAAATCGTGGCATAATTAAAACGGCGGAAGTTATCGCTTGTTCTCATTCGCTTTCCAAGATCGGACCAAAGAGCCGGCCAGGTCATCTAACAGATATCCAGAACAACATATGTTGTTCGCATGTACGTACGAACCGTACCGTACCGTACGGTTCCGTTCGTAGTCGTACAATACGAGGCACTTCAGAGATACTGTACGGTACGTACGGTACGGTACGTAGGTTGTCCTTCCTATTCAAAAGTACGGGAGAACAATGCTGTCCATGTGGGGCAATACTGAAGGTCTAGACAGACACTAGAGACATTTTCGCCCACGATTTTTCTACTGGAGAGCATAATTCTGGCTGGTTTTGGATGGTCCCCACACAAACACTAACAAAATTGTTTGGCTCATTTTTACAGCAGTTAAATAAAATTGTTTCAAATTATTTAATTGGTCCCAAATTATTTCTATTAGTGGTCCTTACTACTGGAGAGGTAAATTCATTGCTTACTACTTGAGAATTAGGACAATGAATAAAAAATTGAATTATTGTTGATCGAAACGTCCCTGCAGTCCCTGATGTCTGTTTGTTGGTTTGGTGTCTGTTTGGTCGTTATGAGTAAATCACAAGTGAATAGTAGTAAGTGACAGCAATTAGCTCAACTCACTCTTTATTGTAAACACTTATCAGCCGGTAGTTATACAGCACTAAGAAAGAGCACACATATATTTTGCAGCAGGTTATGAGCAACAGATAACATTCCTCACCAGCTCATCACCGTCATCAGTAACAAAAGAGTGATTTCCTGTCCCCTCAATTGAGGAACGCCCTCCTTTGAACGACAGCAAGAAGAAGAAAGACAAGTGCTTCACACATTGAGCACCTCCCCAGAATCTAAAATTCTGGACAAAAAGAGAACCCACCAGCAGTACAGAAATCACATCATAGTAAACTATGGTACAAATTCTCCAAACACTGGCACCACCACCAAAAAAACAGCAACAACCACATTTAAACACTGGAGACACCACCATAACAGCAGCAATGGCACCACCTTCTAAACCAACAGGGAGCMGTAACAACACTTGCAAACAACCCAAACCCAAAACACCCAGCATACTAGGGAAATATCTTGTTAAGATACCATGCCCCACCAGATCTCGTCCAGCTCTGAAACTGCACCTAACTTTGTACAATGGCACTATGCAACAAAAACAGCATGCCCTTGAATGAGTCTTCCCACCACAGTCAACCATTACAATATATGACAAAGACCTCTTTGCATATAAACCCAAATACCCGCCTCAGCTACCAGCTACACGACACATCTTGGCGTCCTCCACACCAGGAACCTCAACAGCACGAATAAACTAACAGCACTACTAGTAGGGGAAATACTCCATGATCTTCTCCACAGAATCACTTTCAAATTGTAGAACAAGATTCACACTATCTCAATACAGCACCACCAGCTTTATTGCACACATGAAATGGGTCCTTCCTCCAGACAAAGAGACACTACCAGAAGCTATCCCTGCACATAGGCTATCTAAACCACCCCCACACCTTACCTCCAGCCCAGACCCTCCMTCCCACTAGAATATCCAAGCTGCCCATATCCAAACAAAACAGAAGACAAAGATAGCCACACCACATCCATCAAGTAGTGACACAGAATCATCCATTGATTCAATAGACATTCCCCCTGGTGTAGACCTTCTCCGACACTTTGCAGCACAAGAAAGGGCACAGCAAACCAATGAAGGAGACCCCAAACTCTGCATAGATCCTACCAGTGACAACTTGCACCACAATGTAGATCACATTGTAGACCAAAGGATAGCCCAGTATGAAAAACAAAACAAATTGATTGACAGTGAAATACAATCCATCAAAGACAGCTTTGACCCCAAATCCACAACAGCACCATCAAAGATAAAGGAAACCATACACATTGTCTCCAAAGTCTAAAGCACACTGTAATATACCAGGCCAAATGCAAAATAACAACCCAAGCAGCAGAGACCATTCAGAATTTCCACAACAACCAAACCACCACTAAGAACAACCTGAAGCAGCTCTGCTGCTGTCTGTAGGATATCAGATCGTGGATATGACTCATATATACGACACATACATATGACATGTATCTACGATTCATACACACCATACATATATGACTCACTTGATCCCATTGGATTCATACAATCAACATGACTCATTTCATTCACTTGCATGAGTGACTTGACTCATTCGATTCACACATCACTCAATCTTCACAGTGATCGATTCTAGATTTCATAGTTCGTCGATCCTTGATAAGAGCATCGACTCACTTTTCTTCTAGCATACATTTTACATCACTATTAGGACAGTCACTCCCACATCTGCAACAACCATCTAGCAAAACTCACCAACCATAAACAGGACATCACCACTGAACTGGATCAATCAGCATCTGTTGCCCAGGAAAATCTAGCTGTAACCAAACACATACTATTAGCAGAGGCTGACATCACAACAACAGTAAAGGAACACCTATCCACCAACTCATTAGTGACAGGCACTATCACCCCTAAAATCAACTCATCCCTTGGTGACATGATAGTCTCCTCTGATGACTTCTGCAATCAAATTGACCGAACTATCCATAGGCTCTGTGTGCCCTAGCATGCCATTCCCTGGACTACCTCAAGCCCACACAAAATGGATGGGGACCTCAATGAAAATCACATATATTGGCAAACTCCAAGACCTTGTAAGGAACAGTCGTCTGAGCTACAACCATGTCTATACTGAATTTGAACAGAGCCATGAACTTGTGTACCAAGTAATGACAAACTTTAACTACACAGCCGGCTGCTGCTGATTTTATTTATCTCAACCCAAACACCCCCATGAGGGGCACACTGAAGGGTACACCACCAGCACCAATTTATCTGGAGTCTTGTAGATAAAGTAAGTTCACAGCATTGCTTTTTGGGGAATCTTGACCCACTTGTCTCCAATTGCTTTTGTTTGTTGGTGTCAGATTTTAGCCCTATTGCAGTGTTGTTGTTGTATTACTCTTTGCTGCCCTGTCCATTGAAAGCAGGATAACCACATAGGATATACCAAAGGATGATTCCAAGTGCCTGCGTGTATCTGTCATGTCAAACTTGCACTACCTCGCCCAGCCATGCTGACCAGGGACCTCACAAAATTGACTGCCCTCGGCCAGATTGGCCTTGGCTCTACTTTGTCAAATTGTCCCACATTGCTGTCAAAGTGCTGTCTCACATTCTCTGTTAGCCTGCATCTGTCTAGAATCTCAACAATTTTAGGACCACCATGTATCTTGGCAAAGCAGACATGAATGTGCCAGGACATCTTGCCAGTTTTGGGCATGGTGGAAACGTGTATAATCACTGTCTCATGCAATTTAATAATTCAAAGAGGAGTAAACTAAAGTCAATTGCAAGGCGGGACACATTTTGATACATTCTGAGTACTAGTCTGCACTCCAATCCCAACCAAGTTATGGCAGAATCATGTCATCCTGGAAAACCAGCCACAATGAAATGATCTAACTGAAACCAATTGCTGGATTTTTTGTGTCTCAGTCAAATAGCACAGTTACCACACAATAATTAGACAGAGTTTTGAGATATGCAAGGGGGAAATGTTTTGATACATACTGGGTAGTATACATTCAACATTTTTACCATGTTACTGCCCAATCATTCTGTTCACAAAAAATAGCCCAAATAACTACCAATTACTACACATACTTCAAAATATAAGAACATAGACATCAGGGAAAGACACTCCCCAAGGACAGATGAATAGGATAGTTTTTGGGAGGAGTTACAAGGACTAGTTTGTGACTTTTTGTGGTACCTCTCTCATATTCACCATCTTTTGTTGTTGGGCGCTAGTGTCTGTGGGAGAAAAGACTAGTTTGGCAGTTTGGATATTTGGCCTCCTTATCACCAGTGTCCTTGATTTCCTTGGCTGCCATAGCTGTCTTTCTGCAGCCTCTGCCTCTGCCACCTTCTTGCCCTCTGTAGCCTCTGCCAATTTCTTGGCTTCTGCAGCCTCCACTTGCTTCTTGGCCTCTGTCACCTTCTTGGCTTCCAATGTTTCCTTCTGTGCATGTACATCCACTGCATCAGCTAGGGTTACGTTTGACGGCGTGTCCTCATTTGGATCTCCTACATTGTAGTACAGAATGAAGGCATGATTGGTGTCAGGGAACACATGATGATTGCCAGGATAGAATATACTCAAGGCATAGGTCTTTGAGGGCTGGGGTTGTTGTTGTTGCTGCCTAACGCAAAAGTCAGAAATAGCAACATTGTGACTGGAATCTTGTTCCAGTCCATAAATGCTGGGGATGGATCCAGCTGAGGCAAGTTGCAAGCAGTTGGTGGGGGGATACAGTGGAGGAATGATGCTGATCTCATCAGCATCATCTTGGTTGGATTGATTTTAAAGGGGGCTTGGGTTGTTGTTCTTGCTGTCCAACACAAATGTCAGTAACAACAATATCATGATTGGAATCATCTTCTGGTCCATAAAAATTAGTTGAACTACATGGAGAAACTGGGGAATCTTCTTAGACTGAGTATGTAGCATATACTCTAGGCGTTGGTCATTAAATGAAAGATCTTGGTTGAACACTGGGGGCTGGGCTTGTTGTTCTTGTTGCTGTCCAACACAATTGTCAGAAACAATCACAACTTCAAGACTAGAAGATACTTTATTTCTGATCCGGCTGAGGCAAGCTGCCTGCAGCTGGGGGCAGGGTAGTAATTAATCATGTATTAGTGTGTTTGTTGGAGTGCTTTTAGTGTAAGGGAGGCCAGGGAGGAGGATTTTCCCCTTTGGATGGGGATGTCCCCATGATGGTTTAGATGCTAGAAGGCCCTGGTCAGGTAGTATGTACTATGCAGGAAGTAGGAGGAAATCTAGGTGATAATTCAGATCCAAAGTGTAAGTTCATGCTTTTTAAAAATATCATTTTGTAAATTATGATAACCACAGTGCCAAACATACAGTTCCAGTTCCAGACAAGGGAAGAGTGGTTGAGAGAGAGCCAACAGATAAGGGGTCAAAAACATACAACCAACAACATTGCAAACAGAGTGAGCTCTAGGAACAAACTGATGCAGAACAACATCCTGTGCCAGGATAGTGATAGTGTGATAAAGTTAGAAAGGAACAGGACAAGATTGAGCACCAAAAGGACCAGGCACATCCACATGCATGAAAGGCAAGATGACAATCAAGTAATGCCCAACTAATGAAATTGTTCCTGACTACTTAAACAAAGTTACTACAAGGAAGCAAGTTCCGCAAGTTCCATAACACCATCCAGAGGATCTCCAACGTAGACTACATATGGTGGAAGATGGCGTATGATGCTGCGAAGATGGCCTGACAAGCAAATGAATCAAAACAGAAGGCTTGTGATGTGCAAGCAACAAGTTCATTCATGATAGCACAGCTATGGCTACCAAAAAACTATGATTGTTAAACACCTTTGTGTTTTGACAATTGCTACTAGCAATTTCGACATGAATATCAAATCTTGTTTGTCCCCTATTGTCAAGAACAAAGTGTCGTTTTTCGTGGATTCGAATCTTGGACTGTGTTTACAACTGATCACCTGGACCAAAGTGTTTGTGATTCCCGCTTCAGTTTTTGTTCGATGGCCAATCTCCAAAATGTAGGTATGGCGCTGCAAGCCTTACTGGCAATTTGAACGCATGAAAGTAGTTCGTCGAGGTCAATACCGGAACCGACGGTGTGGCTCCCCAGTATCCTTTCTGGCCTCCTCTGCTCGTTCACCAAGACAATGATGGAGCTATCTCGCTCTTCCTCCTCCTCCGCGGACGTCGGGTCCAATCGAACTTTCGAAGCAGTTGTTGCGTTGGCACCGGACTGTATCGATCGGACGAGAAACGTCGTTGCCACCGGTAAATACAGTAGGTCGACACCGGCGTCCATAAGAGCAGCGACCGCACCGTGTAACAGGCAGCCAAGAAGCGAACCATCGGACTGGATTATTTGCAGGACAACTTCAATGATGCACCGTGGAAATCTGGATACATCCACGCAGGACGAGATGGTTTCCGTCAGAAATTTCCCCATTTCATTTTCGTACGTTCCGTTATCTGCCTTTCCAGACTTTATAACCACCGATACCTTGCCGACATCGCCTTCGTTGTTCATGTTCTGGGGAGCGATAGGTCCGTACACAGCAGCGAGGACATGGGTTGATCCTGCTTTCCAGAGGGCGGAACCGTCGGATCGGTGGAGACAGGAGAGTTCGCAGGCAAGTGGACGAAGCGTTGAGTCGCTTCCCCGGCCGTCGGCGCGCTTTTTTCCCATGCCGTTGTCTTTGTATATTACGCTAGACTTTTTTCTTATTATATTATCAGAGTCGACTTCCTTTTTTCAACACCTTTTCTTCTCCCCTTCGTGATCTCCTCCTTCAAGTAGTAGCAGACATGTAATATATTATTCAAAAACTGCTGGGCGGACGAGATTTTTTTCAGTCGCAGTCAAATGAGAGAGACAAGCAAGACATCATCGAGGCGTGTTTCAGCATATCTTTGGATTGGTCGGTAATTCGTCTGTCTGTTCATCCGTGTTGCCGATTGTAATCGGGAACAAAAACCTCGTGTAGACTTGACTTTCGTTTCTTCCGTTTTTCCCGTCTCTTCCTTCACTCCGGTGAACAAAAGTGGTGAAACTCACTAAAGGTTCAACAACAAGCTTGTCATTGCAATGACTCCGCATTTACATAATACGGAAACAATTGTTCCTCGTTATTATGTCAGAAACCAAAGGAGGATATGGGGAGGTAACCGTTAAAAGCCAAGAGGAAAATTCTCGCACTCTTGACTCGAAGCCGATGGGTGATGTCGCAGTGGCTGATTGTGATGATGACAGTGAGAGTGATGAAGATTTTATATCCCTGGTGCCGATGAACGACGAATATGATGTCGCGGACAATAACTCTAGAAAGGATTCAAGTGACAAATCAAACGGAAAACAAGGAAACGATCGCACCAAAAACGATCTGCCCCCTTGGATGGAAAGCCACGTAGATTATCGTCGTGTGAATCCGTTGGTTGCTCTGCACAATGAAATTGTCGCGTTTACTAGGCTGATGGAACCACGGAGAGAAGAAATGAAAATTCGAGAAGAGCTGCTCGAAAAATTCACCAATCTAGCGAAATCCACTTTTAAGAACTGTAAAGTCGATGTCTTCGGATCTCAAGCTACCGGGTAAGGAACAAAACCATTATTTTTATTGGATCAAACCTGAAGAACCATCGCATTCTTGCATTGTGAAAAAGTGTAGCGTGATATTTTTCTAATGTGATTGAAATACGCATTACTTGCAATTTGATTTTTCCATTTTCAATCTCGGAAAACAAACTATTTTAGTTTATGCCTGCCAACCTCAGATATTGATATTGTCATTCAACTTGAGGAGACAGAAGTGCCAAAAATGGAAGAGACAACAAAAAAGAAAGGAAAGAGGAAAAGCATATCGAAACAGCAAGAGCTGGAAGACATGGAAAACTGGGATAAACCCACTGKTTCGCCTTTGAGCTTGCTGGGTGAAGCCCTTCGAGAAAATTGGCTTGACGATCTCTCCTACCTGGAACTCATAGAAAATACCAGAATCCCTTTGGTGAAATTCACTCATGCTCCCAGCAAAATTTCCATTGACGTATGCTTTAACCAAAAAACAGGCCCTCATGCAGCTGCCTTGATGAAACAATATATGGATGCACTGTCGCCTTTGAGGCCTCTTACTTTTTTCTTGAAGAAATTTATGGCATCGAGGGGCTTGAATCAACCCTATACTGGAGGTGTCGGGAGTTTTCTCCTTCAGATGATGATCTTAGCATTCCTTCAACACAGAGAACGAGACTGCTACAACAATCGGCGACCGTCGCAGTACTGCCTCGGTGCCTTGCTCCTGGAATTTTTTGAATTCTATAGCACCGACTTCAACTTTGTCCTCACCGGCATATCGGTTCGATTTGATGGTTACTTCTTTCCGAAGGGGGCGACAGACCGAAAAAAGAATTTTTGGCAAACGAATCGACCATTTTCTATTGCCATGGAGAACCCCCTGGATCCAACGTTTGACGTCGGGTCCCCGTCGTTTCGCATCGATTTAGTTCAAAGATCTTTCGAGATTGCTTTCAAAGTCTTGCTTAGCCATGTATCCGAACCGATCATACCCACTAACTCAATTTTACGATCGATTCTGGAGCCATCGGACGAAATGTGGGAACGGCAACGACAAACTACGCCCACTTTTGCTCCTCCTGGTACTCAAGTATCCGCAGATCACGTCCCACCCAGAAAAAGACAAAGAAGACTCTGAGCTACTCGTGATTTTCAATTTTTGGGGATATTATAGTCTAGTAAAGCGGCATCGTAAGTCAACTCTTTCATACCAAACTGAAATGTAAATTAATTGGAAATCAACTCCTCTATATTTATCTTCCTTACTGGGCTTGTGGTGAATTGTCATGTATTCCTTGTTCTTTGCAAATTTGTTAGAGACAACCTTATGCTCGATCTTTCATAAAACATCGAGATTACTACTAGCGCATGACATGGTGGAATAATTTGTGGGTACGACTTCAAAAGCTTGCGATTCGGTTTGAAGAACAACAGGTTGATAATTAACAGCAGAAAACATAACATAGATATCAAGATTACGCGTATTGAAGTTCATGCACATTGTCACTTCCACAAAGCACAGCAGTGTCACTTAAAATAACCAATCGAAGCGATATGCCAACGCAAATTCAATCCAGCAGAATGAAGAGAATGATAGAGTCAAAAGAAGAACATGTTCATGCAGTATCGGTCCAGCTTTTAACAACGACGAATCAGCTCTCTCGAAAATTCAGCGCAGAATAGATTCAAGTCAAACAGAATACATCTTCACCATACAAATCGAGAGGCAACGGACAACAGTTCTTGGCGACCTTTCCATCTCCTTTATGGCATTCCAGGGGGCTTTTGCCAAGAAGTCTCTCCCGATCTTTCATTGTAGTAGTATGTTTGACCATCGGGTGCTGTTGCAGTTTTCCATTCCGACACAGGCGGGGCACTCGGTGGAGCTCCATAAGCACCTTGTGGAGGCCCCTGTTGGTACTGGCCTTGCTGCTGGTATGGTTGGATCGGGGGGCCGCCGCCATAACCAGAATTTTGGCCGTAGCCACCCTGCCCGTACTGCGGTTGCTGTTGATATCCTCCTTGGGCTTGGTACCCATACGGCTGCTGTTGATGCTGATGATAACCGCTGTGTTGGTATCCTCCATAGGCTTTTGAAGAACGTGTGGAGAAGAAAAGAAAAAACATTATTCGGTATTTAGTGCTTGAATTCAGAAATGTCAATTATTGGCACCACAATGCGCTCATGTGCTCTTACAGTTTCCACCACCGCTGCCGCCTGCATAGGGATGATTCGGACCAGTATCAATGACCTCCCGAAGCATGTTTTTAGCCATTTCAATGCCTTGGCGCATTCCGCGAAGGGTGATCTCACAGTCCCTCCCTGGCGGAACATCTTGGTTAATTTGAATGTCACACCCAGACCTTTTCTGGAGATCGTTAATTGTAACGCCCTTTGTTCCAATAATCCTTCCCATATAATGCTTTGCGGCAAAAAATATTTCACTCTCCATTCCGCCGCTACCGCTGCCATAAGATGGAGGCTGTTGATAAGATTGAGGACCCCCTCCGTAATGTCCACCACCACCACCACCATACGGCTGATCGTAACCATATCCACCACCTCCGCCAGTAGGTTGCATGTTTTGGCCACCCTGAGGAAGATTTGGGTAGGGAGGGCCAGATCCCCAGACACCGTTACGCTGTATTTTATCATCAACCAGCATGGTTAGGGACTGCATGGCATCCATCATCGGATTGGCAACCAAAAATAGAACCATTTCCTTGGCCTTCACAACAGCTATTTCAGTCCCAGTCATAGTGACCTGTTTTTCGGAGGAGTCCAATCCACTCATTCCCTTGTGATCTACTTGAATCTTAGCTTGAGACCTTGATTGAAGCTCACGGATCATTTCTCCACCACGTCCAATAATCTTCCCGACACTGGTTGCAGGAACTACTAAAAACTCGCGCTTTGCATCACCCAATGGCAAGTCTGCTTCGTTCACGTTTTCTTGGCAAAGCATTCGAACAAGCTGTTTGGCAAAATCTATGGTTTTGCGTGTTCCCCGATACGTGATTAATCGAGGCTGACCAGGAGGCACATTCTGATCTACATCAATTCGACAGGATGATCTCGCTTGTAGATCGCGAATCATTTCTCCACCTTTACCAATCACTCTTCCGACATAGACTGCGGAAACTTCTCCTTTTTCTTCTAAAGTAGCCTCTATGTTTGGAATCTCCGCTGCCTGAACAGGTTGACCTTCCGATGTCGGAAGTCCAGATGGCAATCCAGTCGGTGTTGCTGTCTCTCCAGCACCAGCACCAGCAGTCTCTTTTGGTGCACTCTCTGTGGTTTCTTTTGAGCCTTCAGTTTGAATAATCTCGTTTTGTCCTGTTGCAACCTCTTTCGACTCTTCTGCCTCTTCTGCTTGTGCGGTAGGTACAGCGACCGCATCCGCTTCAGTTTTTATTTCCGATGCGCCATTCGCTTCAGTCTTCGTTTCCGATGGATCATCGGCCTCAGCATTTTTCGCTAATTTTGATGGCGGTTCTGAATTGAAAATTTATGGTTCCAAAATTATGAGCGGATATTTATCAAAGCAAGTGGTTTTTAGAGTTGAAGCATGCAAATACATTATCATAGTATTACTGAATACAGAGCGCGCGGTTGCTTGACGATCATTCGTCTGTCGAAATGGGTCACTTACCTTGGGTACCGTTGTCATCTTCTGGTCGTTCTCTTTTTACTGCCTCGGTGGCATTCTCGGCAGTGTCATCGGTGGACATTGTTTGGTTATGTAGAAGCAGGACAGGCTTGTTCGTGAAAGCAACGCATTACCTCCGTTATGGTTGTGAAGTAGCTTTCCTGTGAATAGTTTGCCAACGCTAATGGCATATTCTGTCTTGAAAATGAGCTAGATTTCCCTTGTCTGCTCTACGTACGGTAGTAGAGTATGAGAACTTAGTACGATTACAGGTACCGTACCCAAGTATTACGTACCAATTGCTCGTGTCGTTTGCGAGGTGAAGAGTTTCTTTCTACTGTACTAACTTTACTACCGGTACGAGTACCTTCGTACTCGTAAGCCAAGATGTGAAGGCAGGAGCGCGTGTTCTGGTTTTCTGGATCGCTACCGTACGGCACAATACCGGTACGTGATCTCTCTACCTCTAACCGAACCAATAAATCATGCGGGATGTACGTACGGTACGTACTCGTAACCACCGAACCGGCACCAGGTAGGTAGGTATGGTTAAAAAATACTGGTGATTGTGTGTGAGTACGCTACGCTACGGATACTTACCTCACCTACGGTACGTACCGGAGGAGGTACGAAACTGAACTGCGTCCGAAAACTGAAAACTGAAAATAAAAAAATGCGAAAAATTGTAAGGCAGTGATTCGTCAAAGCCGTACAACGAACGTACGGTTTCAATCGTCCGTCCGAAGCTGCCCGGAGAGGGACCGAGAGGGGCAATTTTCAATAGCACTTTTGACGGAAATATGAAGAAATAGCGCCCAACCTGCTGCAACGTGTGGTTTTCTGTGGTTTTCCAATTTGAGGGCTATTCAAATTCAATTAAGGGGTGGTTCTGCAGAACAGAATTTTACTATTGGTGACTTCAATTTCGAAGTACAATTTTTACTAAATTTAATTAAGCAATTAAAATAATTAAATTATTCCATTAGAAATTACTATTAAATTTTAATTACTACCTAATGGGTGGTGATTCTTGTTGTTATAGAATGCTAAATTAGCATTTTTAGCAATTTGTTATAATTTGGGGATCAAGATTTTGAGGGACAGAAGGCAAGGAAGGCAGGCTTCATCTCAGTCTCCTTTTGAGAATCTGGAATCTTAGCATAAGAAATAGTTTGTTGTAATGACTAAAAAGAGGTCTGGGTAGGTACCGGTAGGGTTTTCTGTTAAATCTTACAAAATTTTGATTCTTGGGTTCCATCATGATAGATCTAGCACATTTAGAAAGGGGTCAAAAGACCCATTCAAAAAATGCTAAATATAACAACATGTGATAAATTTTTGGTCTGTCTGTCTATCAAATTCAGCATTTCTATTGTATAGATTTGGCCAGCAGATCTATGATCCAGTCGTAGATTACATGCTACTACCTTTTTGCATCTAATGACTAGTAATACTTTGACTAAATAACTAAATACATACAAAATGCACATGCTCAGTACTTGTACCAGTACTCAAATTTTTGAATCCCACCAGTTGTGCAACCAAAATAGTTTCTCTTGCACCAAAATAGTTTTGTTAGCACGTGCTCTGCTGTACCGGTAGTACAAGTCAAATTTTCAATCCCAGAAGTCATTTCACGGTATTTACTACTAAAAACACTTAGAGCATTGAGAGAGGTTCAACCCATGCTAACTGCTATAAAACTTTGTCCCCAATGGACGCTTAACAATGATAAGCACATGATTTGAATCCCAGCAAAAAGACAAATTTGGTGATATGGGGGGTCATAGGGGTTTATTGAGTATTTAATTATATAACTGTAGGTATCAAGTATTCAAAATGTATGACTGGATTGTGTTTTATTGCTTTGCCCGCACTATACAATAATAATGGGAATCACCCAACAATCAATTGATAAAATGTATTTATGATTCCTTTAGTTAAATTTTAATTAATCAATAAATTAAATTTTATTACAATTTTTAAGAAAATTTAATTAGGAGGAAGCTTGTTGAGTCAGCAGCAGCAACTACTGCATCAATCCCCCCTATCAACACAAAAGCAGCAATCATGACAATCAATGAGAGAACCATTGAAGATATCATTTGTGACATTGTTCCATGGCAAGCTAATAGGGCACAGAGCAATAAGGATAAGGAATGCCCCATAGCAGGATTATTTCATATTGAACCATGACTGCTGGATGAAAGATCAGTTGGTGATCCAAAACTGTCACAAAAACTATTCTCGAGGTTTGGTTGCACCCCCATGTGCATATATTTTGTGCGACCACTTCACACAGGGAATTTATGATTCTCAAACTTACTGAAGACCCCTTTTTTGTGATTATTTTTGAACACAATGAAATTCAGTCTGCTCACAAAATTTATTCTCCCCCATTTAAATCATCCCTGCTTATTATTTCTGCTTAGGGGGGCTGCGATACACAACCTCAACATTCACAATGACGGTAACTAGTACTGATGGCATGTCTTTCTTTCTCAGGAGGGAAAACTCCCACTCATGAAGGTTGTTGTACAGCATCAGGAGAGCAAAGACCTTATCCTCAACACTGAAAATATCACTGAGCAAATCTGTAGCACCATTCTTATTTCCACTGAAATTGGTTGGCACAATCAATGTTGATAAAACCTGCCTTGTACCACCACTAACAAGGTGTGGTGACAAAACCAGTATGTAGCTTGCCCTCATAAGGCTCACCAAGGTTCATAAAATTTCACAAGCTCAACTGCACACACTCCATCAGATTAATTCTGTCTGAATGTATCTCAAAATTCTATGGCTCAGTGAATTGTGCCTCCTGACAGGAACACATTGTCTCCAAGCTTATTTTCCCGTTGCCCCCAGAATTCCATCATCCCTCCACTGGGTATCCAGATCAGCCCAATCTGGAAAAGAGCTGTTGGTTGGCTCCATCACCAACAGAGTTCTCGGCAAGGCTCATTGGCTTGGAAATTGGCATATTCCTCACAACGCCCATGGGGTGTGGAATGCTCATTTGTCTAGCAAAAATTGCATTTCAACTTAACCAAGCAAATGACTATGGCTTTTTGTTCTATCCCCTTATTTCTTCTAAAGTTGGACCCCCATGACAACTGCCATTCTCTGGCAAATACCCACCTGGTGTCCCTGTCCCAGTTCTCACTTGGAAAACCAAGACTGAAGGCTTCATTATGATTCAATCAGCAGACTTCCCTTCCTCACCAGTGATTGTCAGTCTCCACCCACTGCACTCCATCTTTCTTGGCCTATCCTTTTACACCACACAGATCTATGGCAGCAATAATTTCTTCAACATGTTCATTTTGAGTCCAGCCTATCTCAAACACTGGCTTTGTTTCATTTTTAGACAAGTCTTCTTATGGTTTCAGATGGCTCTGGTAAAAATGACTCCATGATCTTTGGGTGTGCAGAGGCTACTGGATTACTCTCTGCTATTGTCTTTATCACACTCATTGCCTTCCATCGTCACCTACAAAAAAAATCATTGAACTCTCAAATACATTCCAAACATGGAATACAAGCAGTGCAAAGCATCACATTGATGATACAGATCTTCCATGTTTGGATTCAATCTCTGATGACAACACACTCACTTCCTCTTCCTGCACAAACACATCTTCCAGTGTGCAATCCTCATCAGCACAAGTTGAACTTGCTAGTGACAGCAAGGCACTTATCACCAGAATTCACTCTCAAGATGAGTACAATTAAGTGTATGTAAATGCCATGATGCTACTGGCACTGAAATGATTTGATTGAAGAAATTTTTCAAACTGCACAATCACTACCTATTTCTCCTTCCTTTTCCTGGGTTAACGGTCACCAGGACAATGATACTGATTTCAATAACCTCCCTCTGAAAGCTCAGCTGAATGTCAAAGCCGGTCAATATGCTGGCGTCTATTGTGCCAAGATGTCAATGTCACATCTCATTACACCAATTCTACCTTCTGGGCCTGCTGTCACTCAGATTCAACCACAGCATATAATTAGCCAATACAAGAGAGACCTCACCAATTTATGTCTCATTCCATGCTATCATTATGCATGCTTGTAATAGAGGAACCAATGGCTGTCTCATATGTTTGCTGATGTTGCCTTGGAAGTTACTAGTGATTGCCATCAATTGCATCTCTTCCAATGTTCTCATCTGAGGTCAACAGACAATCCACCACTCTTTTTGGCAACAGATATCTGCAATCAGATTCTGATCAATTGCAAATGATACTCTTGCAAGTTGCTTTACTGAATGGCTGGATATTGACACTGTTTCACCTGAGAAATATCCCACCAAATCCCTTCACCCTGCTATCCATTTCCAAAGCAAGGTTGGCAGGCACCACCTTTTTGCTGACCACCTTTCACTTCAGTGGATCACTGATCCTGATCTTCAGTCCAGCTCACATTCCCCAATTGTGCTGCGGAGTTATCTAATGGGATTATTTCTTACCTCCTACATCTCATTGTGGGAACAGAGAAATAAAGAGCTTCCTGGCAACTCTCTGTCTCAAAAATAGGAACTGAAACCACAATCAATGATGACAAAAATTGGCACTTTATTTGCCTTGAAACCACATACTATGTGTCTGTCCCATGCTCACTTATTCCTGCAGCAGAATCTCAAAACCTTCCCCATACTATCTGAAGCATCCACAACTATGCTGTTGTATTACCTCCAACTATATTAGAGAAAAAATGCGCAAGCATCTACAAAGTATCTCATACATGTCTCCAACATACACCCTTTGACCCAGTATTTTTCAACTTTGCCTCATAGGAGTAAACAAGCATTGGAGAGCATTACACAAGAGTTGCTGGTCTTTGACACCTACTCCAAAAAAACATCACAAACAGACTGCTGCAGCATCAAATACCTCTTTAGCCCCTCCTGCAACTTCATGTTCCTGAACACTTCAAACCACACTGACACAATTCTTTCAAACCAGCAACCTATCCTAAATACTACGTATTTTCTACCCTGGTCATGCCTCCACAACCCCTCCTAGGAGGGAGGTGCCGCCCCTTGGAGTAGCTAGGAGCATTCTTCCCCCTAGATGTCTTTGTTCTGGCTGTCATAATAGTGCCTCTTCTAGTTCATAAGGTCAAACATTGCTGTTTGTAGATATCATATTGTGCATATGATTCATATCTATGATACATACATATTATACATATCTATTTTTTATGCACACTCTACATTCACAACTCCTTTGATCCCATGGATCCCCATGATTGACTTGACTCATTCAATTCACACACATCACTTGATTCTCACTTTGATCAATTTTAGATTTCTTCATAGTTTGTCAATTCTCAATAATTGGAGCGACTCACTTTTCTTCTAGCACTTGATTTACATCACTATTAGATAGTCATTCCCACAGGTTATGATACCCTTTCAATAATAATCATCATCACCATGACAATTCTTTCTTACTAGGTGTGCTCTCTCCTCACACAACTCTACCACATTTAATTGCCCACACGCCTTTGATAACAAAACAAAGTGTCATTGCTTATTGCGGCAACTACCCCCTTCATATTGCAATTGCTAAATGTCATCGACTCTCCATCTGCCCATTGAGTGCTTATAAAGTACTGTAACTATGAAGTAATTTTTAAGTTGCTTTTTTAAGTTGCTTCCAGTAGGCAATAGATGGACTAGGGAGGGGGAAAGTGCTTTAATTCACCATAGTACATGTAGTAGTAGAGACATGCAGCAGGGGATGTTAATATTCTTGACTTAGTCAGAGTAGTTGTAGGTTCAGTAGCTCAAGGTAACTGGAAACACGTTGTTTTATAATATCCCCAGTATGTTTCTACTTCTCCAGTACTATTTGCAAAATGCAACAAAAATTGCATTCTCAATATTGCCTCAACAGCAACAAAAATTCCTCTACTACATAAGAACCCTATGACCCCAAATAGCCCTACTATACTGTGAAGCAGCATACTCCTACTTTCTTTGAGACCACATTGGTTATTTTCTACAGTAATTTTCTACAGGCTATGGTACTTCTTTTTCTTGCCTACCAACCGTTCAGTAGCTTTTTAGTTGCATTCTCACCCATTGAAGAATACTGCAGCAGAATGCAATAATACAACAAAAATTGGTCATATCTTGATTAAGGAGAATGACCCAATGCAACTCAGTATGGAGGTGCAAAACAGCACATCATTTTGATCACTATTTCTTCCCAAAAAAGGACAGGAGGAGCTGGTGAAACAGAAGATGCTGATATGGAGAATGCTGCAAGTCACTGATACAGAGGATACTGCTATGGAAGATGCTGATACAGCAGAGGCTCACTGATATGGAGGTACTGCTGATGCAGAGGATGGTGATATGGAAGATGCTGATACAGAGGCTCAATGATACTGAGTCCGCTTATGTGGAGGCTTACTGGTACAGAGCTGCTGATTTGGAGGCTTGCTACTGATACAGTGTCCATTATACAGAAGAGCTGCTGATATGAAGGACACTTGCTGATATGGGATCTGTTATACCATAGAGGAGCTGCTGATATGGAGGACGCTTGCTGATACAGAGTCGGCTATGGAGGAGAATGCTGGTACAGAGGACGCTGCTGATAGTACTACTACCAGCAATAGTACTAGTAGTACACAGTAGCTAGTGCTAACTAGTATTTGCCCCCCTCTAAGCTTATTATAATGTTATTATAAACAGTAGTAATACGTCTCTGTTATTGTCAAGATTTACCTCCATTGTATGTCTGTTAATTATGGGAATTACCTTGTGCTTTTTAATGCAAGTAATTCTGGTCAACCGACTTACCAGATTTTTTGCTCTACTGGGATGGTACTACTACTAGGGTATGCCAGTAGTAGGAATCATTATTGTACAGGTACATAGAATTGTACACAATTCCTACTGTTGGTGCATTTTTAGCTGCATTATGTCTTCATACCCCCATGGTATCTGAAAAATGATACACATGCATGTATTTTTTGTGTTACTAATTCCCCTGTATTTCCACGTACCATTTCTGATACTCCAAATATTTAGTAGTATCATTTTTTGTGTACATTTCTATGATGCCTGCGTGTATGCTTGCATTATTTTACTAACTCCTGGAATTGCCTAATAAATATAATAACCCACTGTATAACTGTGAACTGAAAGATACAAATAATGATACATATTCCCAGCACATGCAAACTAGTCGTTGGCAAGGATCAATTTCTAGTAGAAAAGTTTTGCAGAAATCTGTGTAGTCCAACCCCCCCCCAGCAGCTAACAGCTTTATTCATTCCATCAGAAAACTCAGTTTTCCAAACAAGTGACCATAGCAATCCCCTCTATTTGAAGCACTTCTAATCAATCTTAGACATTGAGACCACCATCATGATTGTATCCCCCATCTTCATTGTCAATTTATTGTGCCTTTCAGTTTTTCAAAGGACCCAGTAGAGGAACTCCTTTTTCATTCAGTTCAGTGATGCCTCGCAAAAAATCAACAAGCACAAGCAGCTTCAGCACCAGCAGCAACACCCCAGCAGCAGCTTCAGCACCAGTATCAGCTTTGTTGCCAGTAGCAGCAATGCAACAAGCGGTAGCAATGCCAGCAGCAGCATTGCTATCATCAAAAGCAACGCAGCAAGCAGAAGCAGCAGTAGTTTCAGCAGCAACGATACTGGAGGGGACGCGCTATCAGAGCTATTGCAGCTGATGAATGAGGATGATCAAGGTGCTGTGCCAGATGATTCAAGCAATAGAAATTCCAGTGGTGGTGGCAATGCGCCAAACAGGAGCGACCCCTCCTCAAGCAGCAGAAGAAGCTTTAGGAGGACTAGCACAGCAGCAGTCCCACCAAGGACTGGTGGAACAAAAAGGAAGAGGACAAGCAAAAAGAAGAAATTGACTGCAGCAGCAGGGAGGAAGAAGAAGAGGATTATTCCAGAAATAGAGTTAGGTGTAAAAGCCCCCAAGACAATTGGCACCTATTACAATTGGTGCTTCTGCAAGTTCATGGAATTGAAGGATGATTGTGTGTATGATTTTGATCATGTATTCACTGATGAAGAGAAGGTCTTGATTAAGCCAAATGATAGCTACAGATGGTTCAGTATGAGAGCATATGGAAAAGTGAATCCTGGGACTGTATACAGTCCTAAAGATGCAAGATCTACATCAATGGCTTATTGGAAGAAGGCACTGTCTCAATTCATGTTGACTCACCAGTCTCCCTGGGATGGGATTCTTGAAGTGGGGAATCCAACTATATCTTGTCTAGTGAATAAGGTAATTGCTGCAGCAAATAAGTCTGAGATGAGAGGATCTGGTAGAGCAAGTGAAGCTGATTGTTATTTGTGTTATGTGTTACTTGTTGCTATCCTGAATAAAAGAGCAATGTTGGATAGCAGTTAAGAAATAGTAAGCAGTATTCCTATTAATACTGTTAGCAACACCTCCAGCAGTACCAGTAGTATTGGGCCTAGATGCATGTAAGAATCAGTAGTCATGAGTTCCTGTGGAGGTGTTTATTTCCAGCAGTAGTAAGCAGTACTAGTCTTAGTACTGTCCACTAAAAATTACAGGTTTTTTGTTGTACCTTATTTTCCTGTAGTTAGCACTCTTACAAGGACTTGTCAGTTAGAGGCGTGTACTCATACCTCAATTTTAATAAGTGAGAAATTGTTGATTTTATGGCAACATTACAATACTACCAAAATCCTGATGATACTGATTGGGGTTTCACTAGTGACTCCACAGGGACATTGAGAAACAACGTATTTCCACGTACGGTAAGCTAACAGATTTCCAACTAGTTCAGCCATATTGAGCACCAGTAGCGATGTGACGCACATGGAACTGAAAATGATACTCATAGTACTGGTAGGGCAAATGTTGTACAAAAAGGCTATTGGAGACTTGGGGGGATACGGGAAAGAATTTTCAATTGGAGCAAGATTGTTTTAGCACAGTCTTTTATGGTATGGTGCATGTACCAGTACATGTAATTAATAATGATACAATAATAAATACACAGTATAAAATGTGCAGGACAATTCTACACTTTTTTCTTCTAAACCACTTGGTTAAGCGATCCAAGACTTCCAGATCCCCCTAGCCTTGTTATAATGAAGAGATCCTGTATATGAATTGTGTTGTTAGTGGAGGTTGAGGTGTTGAACTGGAGGAGTGACAGGCCCCTATGCTGGAGGTTTTGTTAATGATTTTTTTTTTTCGGAAATTTGGTGCGCAGAGAAATCAATTTGGTGCGCAGAGAAATCAACAAGCCGGAAATGGTTCTCCTCAAAATTCACATAGCAATGTGCACATGCTTGTGAAGAGAAAAGAAAACCCTTTCTGACTCATGGATTCTCAAATTCTGATTAATGCTTTGGTAGCCTTAACAAGCAAGCAAAGGTTGCTGCTGTTTACTAACAATGGCTCGCAAAATTATAACTCATAATCTGTTATAAATCGGACGCGATATATAACACCACAACCTCATTTCATTTTCTGTCCCATATATGTCACATCGCTACTGGTACTCAATATGGTCGAACTAGATGGAGATATGTTAGCTTACTGCGGAGTCGCTGGAACCCCTATCAGTATCGTCGGGATTTTGATAGTATCGTAATGCTGCCATAAAAATAAACAATTTCTCACTTATTCTTCAGACAAAACTGTGAACACATAACAAAATTATTTTTGACGAATCGTTTCTGGAGTTGAACTGCGATGGATACAACGTCTTCATAGAATTCACTGATTCGTAATGCAGCTTATTTTTCGTTGAAAACATAATTTTTAAATAATCTACTCACTAGATTGATGAGCCTCCAGCACTTGGATTGCTTCGTCAATCTTTGCCTTCAATGCTTCAGGACTTTCCAAAAGGTGGAGCAACTCAGAGTTGTCCATTTCCAAAAGCATACCGGTAATCTTACCTGCAAGATCAGGTTGTGATTGGTGGATAAGAGGATACAATCGCTCTCCAATCATGTTCTTCTGCATCTCAGGTGAAGCAGATGCAAGAGCACTGGCAGTGAGGGCGCCTTCAGCAGGAGGCATTTGCTGGGCTGCCTGAACAGGCGGTTGAGCAGGGCCTGTGGGCACACTGCCAGCATTTCGAGCCTGTTGGTTGAACTTGATTTGTTGGTTACCTTGCGGACCTCTGCCTTGCATGGCACCACCACGTCCTCTTCCACCTCGTGGGTTAGGTCCTGGCTGCATGGGACCGCGTCCTCCGCGCCCCGGCATCACACCGCCGTATGGCATGGGGTATGCACCCCGGCCTCCAGGTTGCCCCATCATGGGATAGGCACCAGGTCGTTGTCCCCCTCGACCTCCAGGGCCCATCATTTGAGGCATAGCCATAGGATAAGCAGGTTGCATACCGCCCCCGGGTCCAGTTCGCCCCATGTACATGGCCGGCATACCCGGGTAGCCGATAGGACCTCCCATAGGGCCTCGCATCATACCAGCTTGTCCAGCAGGGGGTGGAGGACCACGGCTAGCGTGCTGTGCCTCCAGTTGTGCACGACGAACTTCTCTTCGTTGGGCTAAAGCTACGAAGATCGGTTTGTTTACGATCAACTTGCCATTCATTTCGTTAACAGCCCGCGTAGCTTCTTCGGGAGTTGAAAAGCAAACAAAGCCGAATCCACGGGAACGTCCTTCCTTGCCCATATCCTTCATGATTCGAGCAGACGTGATAGTTCCGATCACAGAGAATTCATCACGGAGCATATCATCGGTGACAGTATCATCGAGATTCTTGACGTAAAGGTTGACACCCTGGAACTTGGAGATGCGATCCATCTTCTCTGCTTCGAACTTAGCTCGCATTTCTCGTTCACGTTCAGACTTCTTTTGGGCTCTGCCCACGTACAAATCACGCTCAACTTCCTCTCCGTCCTGCATAAACTTGTGTGTTTTCCCGTTAAGACCTTCTACAGCAGCCACGGCAGAGTCGTGGTCCATAAAGTTGACGAAACCAAAACCAAGGGACTCGATTTTCTTCTCGCCTTCTTCCTCTTTTGATTCCTCCTTTGCCTCATCCTTCTTTTCGACTTCCTTTTCTTCATCACTTTCCTTCGCTTTGGTTTCTTCCTTCTTGAAAGGCTTTTTCTTCCTGCGGATTCCCCTTGAAACTGCGGCACTCACAACAGTTCCAAATTTGGAGAATTCCTTGTTAAGTCTGTCGTCATCCCAGTCCAGTGGGATGTTCTTCACGTAGCAGTTCGTAAAGTCGTCTTGGTTGGGCCGGTTGTTGCGGCCAATGAAATGTCCAACCTGAACCTCCTGTCCATCAATCAACATTCCATCCAACTTGTCGATTGCAGCGTCAGCAGCCTCGGCAGTTTCATAGTGGATGTAACCATATCCTTTCGAGAGACCAGTTTCACGATCGGTGACGACCTTGCAAGAAAGAATGTTACCGAAAAGACTGAAGGTATCATACAGTTGTTTGTTATCAATCGACTCGTGGAGGTTCTTGACAAAGATGTTTCCAACTCCGGAACGACGAAGAGATGGATCACGCTGACTCCACATGATGCGGCAAGGCTTGCCCTTAATCATCGAAAAATTCATCGTATCGAGTGCACGTTCCGCGTCACTCATCTGGTGGTAGTTCACGTAGGCGTAACCGAGGGAACGACGAGTTACGGCGTCACGGCAAACACGAATGGAAGCCACAGGCCCGACAGCGTTGAAGATCTCAAACAGAAGACCTTCATTAGCGTCGGGGACAAGATCACCAACATACAAAGATGCTGAATGGAAGGGTGCAGGACCTTCATCTCCGCCGGGACCAGCCTGACCAGGTACGGGAGCAGCACCTGTCATTGGGGCAGGGGTCGGGACAGCTTCAGCGGGGTTCGAAGTAGCAGCAGACATGGTGGCTTTGAACTTTTTTTTTTTTTTTTTTCTGTCGTTGGGAAGGTGTTCAGAGCAAAATTAAGAAGAGCAGACGCAATTTCGTGAGAGAAAAAGCAGATGACGAAAATTGAGGTCCAAAAATAAGTGATTTTGAAACACGCATTGCCTCATTTATCTCAGAAGAAATTCCTAGGATTCCAGATTCCCTGTCTCAAGAGAGAAATCATGCGGGTTTGAAAGGAATCTTCATTTGAAATAGTACGGAGGTAAATAAAAAAATTCCCTCAGTCGGCCGCCGTCAGCAACGAATATGGATGAAGACGACGACCAACTCCGGCAAATCAAACGAAACTCTATCCCCATCCTATCTGTATTAGAACTGTTTTATCATCTGGTGTAGTATTCATGATATCATAACGTACTTTTTTTTCTTCTGGTCCTTTCTTCGATGCGACACGATGAAAAGCACTTTTCTAAATCTTGTGAGTGAGTCGTCGTTGTTTTCGAAAAAGAACGCAAATTGCAAGACCGCTCTTGTCCTCGCCATTGAATAAATATTTACGCGCTTGCGTTCAATTTTTAAAACTTTAAAACGAAAAGTACCGTACACGCACTCCTACGTAATCGTACTCGTACAGAACTGGTATTTTGATGCAACCCTTCGCATCCACGTTGCGGTCTGTATGTTGACAGACGGTGAGCTACGTCTAAGCCGCGGGAATCATGTTGAAGGCAACAAGTTTAAATTCATGTAACTTCGGCGGCCGCAACGCCAACTCCGGAAGAGAAAATCATCATAACGGTTGACGTACATACTGTGAAAATAGCATTGCTGGCTACCAGTAGTACGTAATATTAGATGTATCCGGTGACCTTATTTAGCGTCCCACAGAAGAGTGTTCCCTACACAATGACCAACTATGACTATGTAAAATTGTGTATAAAAACTACCAGAAACATCTTTTCACTATTAATGTTATTGTGGCCACATACTACTATTACTTGTAGTACTACTAGTACTGTTCTAGTACTAGTACTCTTCTTTCAAAGACTGCGTCACAAAAAGTGTTCGCGGGGTTTGGTCGCAACCCCGCGCGTGTAGTTTTTGTGCGACCACTTAACACGGT